CAACTCCTACAACCACCGCTCGCTGGCCGCCTATCCCTACATGAGCCACTCGCAGCACAGCCCTTACCTCCAGTCCTACCACAACAGCAGCGCGGCCAGCCAGACGCGGGCGGACGATGCAGGTGAGCGAGGCCGCTTTCTTATCGCGTTCGGCTCGGTCCTCCGGCAGCCTGGCCGGGCTCCGCAGCCACCGCCGCCAGCCTGCGGGGATCGGCTCCAGCGCTGGCCCCGGAGCAGCCGGGACTCGCGTATTTGCACAGTTCGGTGCTTTCCCTTCGCTTCGCACTGGGTGTGTGCATGGCATGCAAATGCAGGAGCTGGCTTATGCATGGCATACGGTCCCTTTACCTATGCTGACATCCAGGTCTGGGTGGCTTTCAGGAGGCACATCTATTTGTGGGGCTATAAAGCCCGGGGCGTCTATTTTCCAGGGCGACACCAACAGCCCTTCCTGGCTTTGCTGAGATCTCTCCATCCCGAGAGCGCTATTTAGCCGTGGGTTTGGACTGTTTAGGTGTGAGTGTGTTTGTTTGTTTGTGTTGCCCATTAATATACTCGGAGCGCTGGCCTACTGCTCAGCTAAATTTAACGTGAAACTGGCCATTTGCATTTCACCAATCGCCCGGCTTCTGCAGCCGTTTCTTTATGGCTGGGGAGAAATGCTAGAAGTTGCAGTGATCCCATCCTCAGCTAAGGGATAAGAGACAATATTTGTTGCTCCTTTGTGACACTAGGCAAGGGGATCGGCATTAGGCAAATGTCTGTTAACACCTGATGAGTGAAAGTTTCAAGATGAGTTTGTTGTGTTTTTTTCCCCTCCCGCAGTTAGCAGATTATTTTTATGTACTGATCTGAGCAAAAAAAGCATTGTTAAAGCTGCGACTGGTGATTCACTGACCACCAAACTGGCGACATGAAGTCAATTAGCCGTGTAAACACCTTGATAGCCAGGCAGCTAGTAATCCATTAATTAAACAAATGCTGTGTTTTTGCAAGTAAAACAAGCCACCCAGTACACAGGCACGGCTTCTTTATGTCCGTTGATTCGCACTATTCTAATAAGAGGTATTCCGGTTTGATGCCTTTAAGCACTCAGACCGTGTGCATACTATGGCAGTGGGACTGACACGGCAATGGGATTGTTGCATACGAGCTGTTCCGGGGGGAAAAGAGCAACAAAATGCCCAAGTTAAACAGTCAAGGAGGGTTCTCTGCAGTGGTGACATTTCAAACGTGTTGCTTGCTTGCAGATCAGCAAAAAACAACAGTGATTGAAAACGGTGAAATCAGATTCAATGGAAAAGGAAAGAAGATACGGAAGCCTCGAACCATTTATTCGAGTTTACAACTTCAGGCTTTAAATCATCGCTTTCAGCAGACTCAGTACCTGGCACTTCCAGAGAGAGCTGAACTGGCAGCTTCCTTAGGACTTACTCAGACACAGGTAAATTATGGGAACCCCAAATCAATGCAATCCTGGTCATACAATACAAGGCCAACCAAAGAGAGATCCTCACTAGAAGTACATGATAGTAGAAAAGGTAACACACATGCTACTACTATGCCAAATGTGATGTGAGTTATCTTATTACACAGTACAGAGTAAATGGCTTACTACTGAAATAACTGACTGAATCTGCATTTTCCCCTGCCGACTAGTTATAAAATTTTACCCTTTGATGGCACAACTAGAAAAAATAAATGGATCCAAATTATTACTGCACCAACATGCAATTGTTCGGTTGTGACAAGAGCACAAAACAAAGGCAAGAAAACCTTAGGCCTGAGGCAGAGGTAAAAATAAAAAGCCAGATCGTGGCAACCTATAGAGACAGAGAAAGCAAGAGCGCATTAGAAAATACCTGTAAAATCAATAGTTAATTCCTCCTGGATGACTAACTCAAATGCAGTGGTTACCCTTGGGCAAAATGTACAAAAGGTGATAATAGATCTGAAGATCAAAGACAGCCGTGTACAAAATTATAGCAGGTTAAACCATAGTTAAGTGTGGTTGGTGGAGCTGTCCTATCCTGGCTAATTTAAGCTTGAAAGACACGAGGCATTACAGACTTCACAAGCAGGGGTTAGTAACAAATGAATAAATACTATCAATTTATTTAAAACATATTTATGTGCATTTATGACTTTAATAAATAATTTCAATATTTTATAATTGCAATTGGCAACAGTAGCTTACCTGGGCAATTTTTAAATATTGAGCGATATACATTTTGGAAATATGTTTGCTTATTGTACAAATGGCATTTGTTCTGACACACACGAGATGAGGGCCTGATCCTGAAAATCTACAGACAAACGAGTAGTCCCATTGAGATAATATCCTTGCATAAAGACTACCTGCAAGGGTTGCAGGATCAAGAGTTTGAATCTTTAAATTACATCCATATACCGTTTGAACATGGAGGGCCCGATCCTGCAGACCTCATTCAAGGAAAACTCAATTTAGGGGAGTTTTACTTGACTAGAGAGGGTAGGATGCGATCCAAGGTGGTTTATATCAGTTACTCTTTCTGAAAAAGCAATTTCCATCCAAAATTGATTTTAAAATGACGTTAAAGCACTTGTTCTAGTCAGCCCCTTCCCCAGGGATATAAACAAGGACAGCTTGATGGTACAAATTGTCTGATTCAGGTTTTACTTTTAAGATGCCCTTTGACTATTACTGTGTCTCCTAGCACAGGGTGGTATGCTTCTGTCTGTTTGACCACAGTTTCTCCAGATGATCAAACGACCTCCAAAATACTGAATGAGGAATATGACACGTGTGTGTACATGTGTATATTTGTGTGTTTATATTATATATAATTATTATATATATATATAAACACACA